TAGTCTCTACCTGTTTTTAGGTAATTGAAGTGCATTTTCCTTAGATTTAGCATCAAGATGCATACCTAATTCACATGTCCTGGATGTTTACCTTTAGGGTGATGTCTCAATATCACACATTTGACTGCTATCAAACTAGATAATAAAATGTCATAATCCCAATTAGTTTATAGACCAAAATAATGTACTTTAATATTCCAGTCTTCGGGGACCCTTTAAAGATGAAGCTAATCCATCATATGTACTATAGAAATCACATACCTTCATCATGTGCAGCAGTAATATTTTCCCAACTTTTGGCATTTACTACATCAATATTTTTAATGATAGACAATTTTAGTAAGTAAACATTTATATATAATTTAACTGGAAAAAAGTCTGTTTGTTCTAATTGCTTCTTAAATAAGAAAATTATTTTCTTGTAGAATCACTCCTTTGATTAAACCCTTTCATGCATGGTTTTACAATCATGGGGGAAAATCCACATCCGTCCTTTTTATTACCTCTACTAAAAATAATGTTATAATCACTTCATATATAATAGATATATTAATTCATTGGATTGAAGGTATTTTCTTTAATCATTTAACCCTTTATTTAACCCATTGTATATATTTTTCTTTAATCGACTTTTATAACATATATTTGAATATTTGCTTTTATGTATATATATATATATAAATATATATATATATATATATATATATATATATATATATATATATCATAGTAACCTCATATAGTAATTTGCATTTTAGTTCTTAAATTATATCATCATTCCACAAAACAAATCAAAAAGATTACCTATTTTGATGGACAACACTATCCCAAAGCAGAATACTAAATGATTAGCTTATTAATCAATCATTGCATCCACAGTAGGTCAGAAATTACAATACAGTAAAGATCTTATTTTTAGTAAATTGTCAAAAATGTTATCCATCCACAAGGGGTACTCAAAAAAATGAAAGTACAACCAACTAATAATAAAGTTTGCTAAATAAGTATTTACTAAGCTAGTATATCAAGGAATTATAGTATAGGCTTTCTATTTAATCCGGTCATTCTAACATCCAATCTTCCATAATTTTTGTACATGTAAATGAAAAACAATATACAGATTAGTAGATGTATTTCATTGATAAATTACTACAGAAATGAATAATCATGCCATTTACTCCTTGTTAACATCATGAGTTTTAGAGCAGTAAAAGTCAGAAAATTTTCCTGTGGAAACAGTGTTTTAATGCTTCAATGGTATGTCAAATGACAATTTTTAGAAAATTTTCATCCACATGTAAAATTCTAATTATTAGCTTATCAACATAAGTTTGTGAAACCGTTTTAAATCAAATAATTAAATAGTTCATCAGAATTGCTTTAAAGATATAATGATGTCAATAACATAATTGTATCCTCTTTTCTTGGGACATATTAAGGATATATGCATACTTTTGTTAGGAAGATATCAAACATATCAAATTAAGAACTACAATAGAAGACTGAAACACTTTAATTATTCATTCTGTTTCATTTCTTAATTGTGCTCTAATTTGATTCGTCAGATGTTTATCATTTGGAAACCCTCCTGCTTTTCAGTAAGAGGAATAAAAAATTCTCGAAGTTCTCAACATAAGCTTTCTTAACCATGCATTGATTGTACTATCTTACCTTCCCTAAATCACTGACTGCAGCTCAGTTGATCTTGAGTGTAATTGCAGAGCTGTAATGTGGCAACTGCTAAGCAGGATAAAGGATGCATTTGTGTTCTTGACTGATGTCAGCATGGTTTTTGTCATTGCATGGGATTTTCTCCACTCACTTCTCTATGTACTATGAATACCCAAGGAAATCAAAAAACACTGAAAAAATTAGTATACTTGATAATTTTTCTGAAAATCTTATATTTTTCATATTATGATATCTTGGGTTCTTTATCTTTTTCAAGTCTAATTTTGTAGTGGTAAAGCTTTGCACTTAACATCCTTTTTATGTTCCTTTTTAACAAGGAAAAACAGAAAATAACAAAATTCCATATTTTTTACACCACGGAGTAGTACAATTATTTTCTATATTGTTAGTACTTCAAGGACTATCCCTCTGCTAAGTCAAGCAAAATCCTTCTACAGTAATTTGTGAAACTGTTCAGTAGAGTATTTTTTTCTTCAGAAACTTGGCATAGGCTTTAGACTATAGCATTCTTTAAGAATGCTGGTAGATGGGTACCGCCAGAGTATTCCAGGCAATAATATGAGTAAAATTCTAATACCTTCAGTGTGCATGCATGTATTTCTAATCACTGTTATTTTTTAAGTATTTGTAAAATTAGAAAAATGACTTTTATTTCTTGACAACTTGTCACATGCTTAGTTTGAAGTTTTACTCTCCAGATATTTTTGAGTTGTGCAAAAATATTGCATCCAGGATGCAAGTGTATTATGTTTTCACACAAGACTCAAAAATCTCTGAATGACAGAATTTAGACTTTCAAACATCTACACATTCTTGAGCTGAAAGTAAGCAGGGAATTTCAGCTCTGAACACATTTTTTTTTTTTTGAGACAGTTATCTGTGAGTGAAAACAGGGTATTATAACAAAAGATGAGTTTTGATCTTAACTATAGTGTTTGTTACTGTGAATGCTATAATAATACATAAGTAAAATGAGTGTAAATGTAATATATTATTTTATACTGCTGTATACATATGAAATAAATAAAACTAGGATACATATCATGCCATTTTTCCATGCATGGATCTTCCACTGACGCCTGTGGGAGCTTTGAATAAAAATCAGTGGCAAAAATGTGGCCCTAAGTTTAAAAACAACTAATGCTGATTTAGTAACTTTAGTCTTAATATAACAGGTCCTAGGGGGACATCTGTTCAAAACTGATTCTCATTTGATGCAACATATGCTAGATTTGAAAGGATTTCACTGTATTTATGGTTTTGAACGTAGGCAATTCCACACGATTCTTATGATACCCACGATGAATCCTTAACATATATATTTTTTTCCACCTGGTACTGTTCTTCTTTAACTTTTTTGATCTGTAGTAATATCAAGGGTCCACAAAGATTAATGGAGAGGTTGTACATATGATATGGGTGCCTTCAAGCAATAAAGAAAGGTTATTTTGGAAAATTTAGAAACATTTCATATTTAAGGTTCATAGAAACAAAATGAAAAATAAAGCTCTTATGGGTATCATTTTCAAAGAAGAACATATGAATTAAGGTTTAGATATTTTTTATAATGTTAATATAATCTGAATGAACCCTATAGAAATTTCAATTCTGAAATATCTAAGTGGTGATATAGAAGAAACGCCATGCTTCTTAATCTTGTGTGTGGTTTGTGTGACTCAAGTCCAAATTACACAAAGTGCACACACAAGGTTCATTTAGAAGGCAGTAAGGGGGAGGATTAGGTACTTTTCTTGCTTTAAAAGTCTAGTATTTTCAACCCTGTGGGGAAAAAGAACTGAATAAGATACATAGGAGTGATAACTCTCCATGAAGTGTTATCAGCTCTAATCACGGGGTGCCTGAGTGCCCCTGTAGCTCTTCTGCCTGCCCCTTACTTTCACCCTTTCTGAATACCATATCATGGACTCTTTCATTAAAACAAGGTTGTGAATTTTTAGAAGTAAAATTAAACTTTATTAATTACATATTGCAGCTCGATAGTGAGGGGATATAAGAACATATGGTAGTATATGTCTCTTAAGAAAACTCTAGTTTGTTTAGATGCCAAAGAAATTGTAGGAAAATATCACATAATTAAATGCCCAAATAATTGAATAATCAGACATCGTGGTCAAAATCTATCGGTGGCGTCATGAAATCAACTTAATGTACAAAGATAATGACATGAAAAGAAAAAGAAGTAAGTAGAATAGAAAAAAAAAGTAGATGATAGAAAAACATTAAAACTTACCACTTAAGTAAAAGTAAATAGTTCTTGGAGAAGCTTTTTTTCGGATCTGTGTGTGAAATAGGTCACAATCTGAAATGTATTTCCGACTGTGCATCATTTCCCCAAATGTTTGAAATGTACTGTACCATAGGATCTCTGTTTCAAATTTCAACTTATTTAATGGTGTAGAGAGTCAGGGAAGATATTTTTTGAAAATTTACTTCTCAGCTGAATCTTAGTCTTTACATTTTTGAAAATGTGGATAGGTATACTAGCTGTAGCTTTTTTTCTGAGAATTATGTGAACTGATGTCTGTGAAATGCACAACATGACAGTCACATGCAAGTGGTGTATGTCAGTATTAATACCCTTTCCCATTGCTTTGCCAAATATTCTTGGCTACCAAAAGTAGAGAACACACTCTCCAAATGGAAAGAATTCCTTTCTCACCATTCCAGACTGCTGTAGACTTGTATCTGAGCAGCACTTAACTTCAAAACCTCAAGATGAAAGTGGGTTTCCTTTGGTATTCCCTCCTGGGATTTGCTCACCTCTGCCTCCCCATTTACCAGTGCTGTGGAGCCCAGGAAATAAAACTCATGTCTGGCTTTTGCAACTCCTGAGCAACCTTCATCCCAACTTTTGAAAAAAAAAAAAAAAACAACCTGATTGCACTAGAATATTTACCTTACTTTTCTCCTTTGATGTCAATGTCCTTTCTAAATATCTATTTCCATACAAATCAATATGTGTTCGAAACACTGCAGATTTGATAGAATCATATGTTTTTGCATATATTTTTTGCATATGATGACTATTTCATTTCAGAAATAATTGCACGGTATTCAGCATCTGCTCAATAGTATTGGATTATTTTAATTGTTCTGATTGTAGACTGCTTGGTGTTGGCAATCCCTAGCTTGGCACTCTGCTCCCTAGAGCGATCCTTTGGCTGTTAAAAATATTTCTAAAATCCCCCTTTTTATTTGAACAATCAGTTAAAAGTTCTCTTCCTTATCATGGAAACTAGATTTTAAAATTTTCAGGTAAAATAAGGTAGTTCATATTAATCTGTAAC